TAACAATTTATATAAACTTTGGTGCCTCCTGTTTGAAAAATAGTTACTGGGTTTCGATTTTTTAGGACCTTCATTGAATATGACAAGTAATTCTTAATATAATCTTTGTGACAAGTAGTTGGCCAGAAATAGAGCAATAAAGGTATGTTACTTTATCTGCACTCCTTTGGAGAATGTAAACATGCAGAACAGGATATGAGAATCTGTGTATTTTGCAAATTTACAAAGGAAAAATATGCTTGACACCCAAATAAGGGTATAGGGAAATTATCGGACATTTTGCACCATGACAAATTTCACTTAAAACTCTTTCTTGTTGGATGTGAGTACAAGAAGTGGTGGCCACTACCATTTGCTTTACCAACGAAGAAACAATGACAGATCAAAATCCCAAATGTATTGAGTTCTGCATTGGGACACTTACTGCTGCCATAAAACTTAAGCTATCATCCATCAGCATCCCAACACGAAACTTGAAAGAACCAGAAATTTTAAAACAGAATACCCAATAATCATAAAAGAAAAATTTTAAATTTTTTTTTCCTTGTATAAATAAAACTATCCTCATATTTGTATGAAAGCTACAGTGAAAAAATCTACATATGGACTCTGTCAATTCTTCAAAAATTACCTTATGTCTTTCAATGAATTCTTGCTGCTTGAGATCATATAACTGGAATGAAACTACAAGGGAAAAAGTAAGGCATCACCAGCTTGAAGCAATAGCAGCATTAGAATGTAATCCCAGGTTTAATGAAAATAAATAAACCAAGTTGCATAAACAGATAATTAATCACCAGCATACTATGTTGCTTTACAAGCAAAAGTCAAAGAAAATAGAAATAAAGAGCAAAAATGGTAGAGAAATAACAGCATAAAAGGATGACACTTACAATCAATTTTATCTTCAATAGGAGCATTGGAATGGTGTCAAGTACCACTTCTTCTCAGGGATTGGTCGTGGAATGGTCTTCACTTGGCATGGATTGTTTGGAACGCCGCTCCAGTTTCTACTTCCATTTTTTTTTTCTATTTGTCTTGATGTCTGTGTGAATAAAAAATGATGATGAGAGTACCACATATTGGATGACATTTAATGCTGAATTGGCGTATTCCATAATTTCTTGTGGCGTATGAATAGTATTACTACAATCATATATCCTAAATTTCTACTCATGGAAATTTACAGGGAAGAGGTACCAGTTGCCTGCAAATTTGCATGGGATCAATAAAGAATTGCATGTTGTCCATGGTTTACCAGCCATTGGTATAATGCCAATTACGTATGCTTCCAATCGTTGGATATCAAAGAAACAAAGTAACTAACTTAATAAACTCACCTAATAGCCATGACGTCGCTTCCAAGTACTGGTTTGCTCATCAAATGCAAGTTTGTCTTTCTTGCTTTTTCAATACCTACATGATATTTCAAACTGATATAATCACAAAATCAAAATGGCACGCCAAGCCTTGGAAGCATTGCCTTGAAGCATAACCAAGGAAAAAAAGCACTTTTACGCATAAGATAAATAATCCAAAGAAGCAGTTCAATTTATGATAAACAAACCCTTGTTTTAAGTCTGTTGCTTCTTTGGTTTCTAATTGCTTAACCTCCTTACCTTACACCTGCTACACACTTATTACATCCTACGTCTATTGAGCACAGTGCGCTGCAATTTCTTGTCATTGACAGTAATCGTACACATTTAGGTGACATTAGACATCTTTAAGACTTTACCTAAGCGATAGAATTACTTCATCTCTAACTAAAAAAAATTACAGAAAGTTTTAAAAATGAAATCCCAACAGCTGTCTTTTGCTACCAATCTACATGACAAATGCACACCACTTCATAAGTCTTGGACTATTTATGTTCCGGAGCTGAACTTTCCATGTTCTGACTTGAGTTTCTTCATACACTCCTGAGACAAAAATATGGTAAAGGTTCAACGACGCAACAATCTTGTCCCTAAATTTAGAGTTTGATACATGAATAATTTTTCGTGATCGGCCTAAATTTTCATCACCGGTCCCAACCTCAAATGTTGAGGGTCAAAGTAGGTTGTCAATCAGTACGACATTAATCCTAAGACACATTTAGCATAATGATGCAACATACAGTAAAATTACATTTTTTAATCCTATTATCTTACAATAGCAAAGAATATATTAATTGCAAAATACAAATCCAAATTCCATGAAGAGCCTACTTTGGAAATTCACCAAATAAACACGAAATAATTATTTTTAACATAGTGTAGTATTTGAAAAAGGTTCAACAGTTCAACTATCATAAAAAAGAAACAATATTAATAGGAAAGAAATATTTCCCCACATACCAATGATTAATGTCACAAGTGATGTAGCAATCGAATAACAACTGGAGTGCCGCTGCCAAAAATTTGTTTTTTGCCTTTTCCAATACCACCAACAAAGTAGGATTCCATAAAAACCTCAAAAGAATTGAGTGCTTCAATGTCAGAAGATAACTAACACATCATCGAAGGTTATAATAAAATTGAAAATGGGAGAATGAAATAGCTACCTTGGCTTCCTCCTCAACTTGCACAGCTTCAACAAGAACAGCTTGGCCTCCAATTGAGACTCTAACGGCCTTCCCAGAAAAGCTATACCATTATGCATAAAGCATCAAAGAAGCAAAACAAACTAAAAGTCAGATATACTCGAACATAAATAAGTATAGACAGCCAAAAACGGCTTCTTTTGGTCTTTTATCAGAAAAGTAACCAAAATAATATTAGGGGAAAAAATAGGATTTTACTTTTCTTTTCTTTTTCTTTCTTTTTTTTTTTAAGGCAGGAGAAACACGCTAATAATGAATTAAACACGTGACCTTTTTCAACAGACACACAGTGATGATTTATAACTTTAGTTCCTAAATTTAGTCAACCCTCAAACTACCAAATTGTAAAAAGGACCTAAATTCACTTTATCAATACTTTCTTTGCTCTTGAGAGGTCGAATTATCAACTCATAACTTTTCTCCTAATGAGCTAATCCTACATCCCAAAAAATTAATAAAGAACAACTACAAGAAGTCAAAATTACAATGGAATAAATTACGTGGCTGCGAGCTTCATACCACTGACTGGCATTAGAGTACGGATCACCGCTCGGCTTCTCGAAAACAATAAAATCAATAATTAATTGTTCACTACAATTTACATAATCAAACGTATAAAAATAACAATAATGCGATGTGACTGCGCAAAAGTAAGATTTGCCAGAGAGAAACTCGGTAAGGGCTTTGAGGCCAAATTCTGTGTTCACATCTGAGAAGGTAACAACAATTTTAGTGATTTTAGAGAGACGAATGATGGGATTGGACCCTAGAGGGTGAACATCTGAAGACGGAGAGTAGAGAGAGAAGTAAGAATAGAGACTCATCAGTCACCCAAGCAGATCGTCGACCTTGGATCTATCCTCCTCGGTCTTCTCTTCCCGAGGCTTCAATCTCTCATGGCTTTCCATGAACTCTTCTTCCATTAGTAAATAATATTTGATTTGCTCGTGAAGCCATGTATTTTAGATAAAGCAAGCATAATCTTTAATATTTAATAAATCTTTTAGTTACAGCATTCTTTTATAGATTTATAGATTACCAGTTTCATTCACCAAAGATTCGACACTCAGAAGTGAACAAGTCTTACATTAGCATATCATGAGTTTCAGTTGCATAGCAATTCAATTTGACAGAGGAGCATTAGGAAATGAGATGCTAGACAATGAGTATAGGCTTTTGTAACAAACAATAATACATGGAATAAAAATGAGATAGAAAAGCATAACATCACGGGTCCAATTGATTCAACATCTTGAACAATGTTTGAAGTCAAATGACTAAAGCATACCAGCTTGACACCTACTTCTTCTCCATTCTGTATGTTCGCACCTGTGACAATGATGCATAAACGATCCATGATGATGAATAGTAATCCCTTAACAGTAACATAAAAAGACCAAAAAAAAAACAAGTAAATTAATGTAATTAACAAGCCTTACGTAAAAATGAAAAAGTAACTAAATAGAGTTCACCAAATGAACAGCTCCCAATTTTCCTCCGAAACTTCAATTTTGCTCCCAAATTCCAATAGCACCTCCAACACCCAGAAATTAATTTCATTTTCTCCATATTTCAACGGCACATCAGGATAAAAAAAAAAAGAACCCCAAATTACTGCCAATGAGAATCCATAGGATACAAATCCTCAACCTCCCAAAAACAAAATTTAAATTAAGTCATCGTTGCCCACACTTAATCAAAGAAATCAATTGATGAAAAAGTTTCCCTTTTGAATACTTTAAGTACCCTACAAAATATAGGTGACTACTATATGGTAGTCAATCAGTTTTTATTCATTACCAGTGCAATAAAATAATTTCGACACCTAACCCAATAAAATTCATGAACAAAACAAGGTTATGTTGTCCCTAAAACATTAAAAACAAAACGAATGGAATTACAAGCACTTATAACTCTAGAGCTTGTTTGGTAGGGATTTTTTGGAGGAAGAATTGATTTTGAATAGTAATATGATGGGAAATGTGTGGTTGAAAAATGAGAAAAAATTATTGATGTGATAAAAAATATTATTTTATTAAAAATATGTGGTTGAAAATGAGAATTGATTTACCGTAGAAAATGAGAATTCCTACCAAACAGGCCCCTAGTTTGTCACTGATATCTGATACATGGATGAGATTCACCGCAGCTTGATGCACCAAAACAAATCTGAATGTGTAAGCACAAGAAAGCAAATAGTTTATCAAATGCAAATTAAACCTTGAATACAATCCTGTGCAAATTGACTGCGCATTATAATATCAAAAACAGAGCTCTAGTCTAAATTTCTCAGTGGAAAGTAAAAGATTCCAGACTGTTAAAATCAATAGGAGGCAAGCCCTATTGTCCACCTTTTTGTACTAAATCGCTTTCATTTTTATCATCAACTCAAAAAAACAATAACTTGAAATTTGAAGCAAAAGAAGTCATCGAGGTTTGCATCTTCGCCAACTAAATATGGTACAACAAATCGCTTCCAATTAAAAAAATGATCTATAGTTCTGTAAAAGATATCAATTTTAACGTGATCTTAGGAAATGTGTCGATTTCACATCAACAAGTTTTGGAAGTTTTATATATTACTGCATATCTAATTCGCACACTAATTAACATCTCAAAAACAAAAACAAAAAAATCAAGAAAGAAATTCAGAATTTGGAAACACGCAAAAATCAAGAAAGAGAGTTTTTGTATACGCAGAGAGAGAATAGTACATACCTATGTCGGAATCAACTGGGTCGCCAAAATTTGTTAGCATAGAAGGGTTAAAGTCGGGCGTTTCTTTGAGTTTAATACTTATGGGATCTTGTGGGTCTCAAAAAGTCTAGCTGATTCTTGTTTCGCAACTGCCAACTCTTCTCTTTCAGCATAATATTGGCGAAGAGCAGTTTGCAGATTAAGAACTTCCTTATTCTTAGACTCTATTGTGCTCATACAGCTACCCAATTTTCTATTAAGCTTGTCAATTGTTTCCTTAGACTTCTTCAGCTCGTTGTTATTAGACATTTTAATTTTTTCCTGGCTATCGAAGCGCGAAGAGTCACTCAACTTATGGACTGAAAAAGAGTTTGGACTTTTTTGCAATAAAAAGAAATAATGAAAACTTGACTTCAAATTACTGTATAAAATTGAAAGATTTAAGCAATAAATATAAAGTTGACCTAATATTTTTGTAAGGTATGCCCTTTGCATCGATATATGATTTATTTATTCTGGTAAGTGTATCTAGACCTTCCGCAACCTCCCCAAATACCTGGATATTCAAATCAAAATTTATTATTCCAAAAAGCTGGAAGAAATTGTTTGGACAAAAATGCATAGTGTGATAAATATTCAATATGAAAAAGAATCCAAGATGTTTTGGTCGAATGGGTTAATTACCCCTACATCTTTAGGCAAGCAACCAAAATTCGAAATGGCTAAAATCTAAAAAATACCAACATATTGCACAACTTTCTTTTTCTCTCTATTTCTTTCTTTATGGGAGGGGGGAGAAGGGTAACATACTATTCGAAGGTAAATAATTGACACTAAAAATGAAATTTTTTTAGACCTCAAAAGGCAACACAGATAATAGAGAATGTACATCTCATGACTTCAGCAGAACAAATCAAGTTCATCCTAGACATAAAGCAGTAAGTAGGCATTCTTGTATTCCTTTTTTACTTTATGGTGGAGGTGGATAGCAAACAAAATTTTAGATTAGAAAACTTACAGTGTATTTTCTGTCAAGATACTCAAGGTGATCACGCAGTGTGATATAAAACTGAAAGGAAACAGATGCATCTATTAGACATATAAGATACAGAGTTTTGTTCCTAAGCATATATGAAGAGAAGGGAAGGAGGCGCTTGAAATTCATAATCAAGTTAGAAGGACATTATAATAGGATAAAGAACAAGTAGCTGCTACCACAAAATTTTGGAACACAACACCCAAAATAAGTTTAAATCCATACCCTTGCAAAAGCAGAAAACAACTCCAGCACAAGAAATAAATAAAAAATTTTGAATCATGTATAAACCCCAAGAAAATTGAAAGCAAACTATAATAAAAAATTGAAAAAAAAAAAAAGTTAACGCTTCATGAAGAACTAAGGCAGTAAGTAGCTATTAAAAGCTTCCAATTTGTGTACAATTCTTTCTTTCCTATTTGGGATTAAAGCTTAAAACTTGTTCAGTTCTAAATACTTATGAAAAATATATAAAGGTTTCTTTCAAAATTATGTTACGATCACGTCTACAAATTGCAGAGATGACGATGAAAAAAAGAAGAAACATGGAATATAATTCGTATGGACGGAAGATTTCTCTATGTAATTTTCTCATTTCTATTATTCATTATTTGTAGAATAAAA